GGAGGAGTGGTATAACTAACCTTTACTAACTTTAACCTAATGAATCAGATCTCAGCCACGGTCAGGAAACACACAAAAAAAATTGCACTAATATTTTCTGTCAAACATAAGGCCCGCGGGCCAGAACCGGTCCGCTTGGGGGTTCGATCCGGCCCGCTTTGATGATGAATTTTTAAAGTAAATAAATGAACAAACACTTCATGGTCATGATGTTTTTGTAAAATTATATTTAATTAAAGATGAATATTTTACTCCAACAAGAGAAAGAATTATTGGTACAGAATACTTCATTTCCGTGTACTCTAGTCATTTAAAGATAATCCTACAATATTTCACAATAATACACTTTTCGTACTCACACATACAATAGTCAAACAGATGTTTTATTTTGAAAGTTTGATTGGAGTTCACTGAAATGTCTTGTGTTTTGTTGTTTAGTTCATACTCCATGTGGAGAGGTCAGAGGTCAGAGGTCAGAGGATATAGGTCAGGAATAAAACAACCTCTGATCAGTGTATTCAGTCACTGGTTTCAGACTAATGAGTCTAATTTGTCTAATACGGAGAATTAAATTCCCTTTTAATTAGTAAGAAAGATAATTGATAGTTGAGGTCAACGGTTGACCTCTGACCTCTTACTGTCACTGGACCACGGTCAACTCTCAGAAGAAGCTCCAGTTGACCTTAATAGATGTACAAATGTGTAGAGGTGGAGGTGGGGGGTGAAGGGGGCGGGGCATAGGAAATGACATCAATAGTTAATTGTGTGAATTTGTTTCTATTAAATAAAAATAACTGGTCTTCAGGAAGTCAATTAGCATTAATTAATCCTGACTCTTAATTACGTCACTGGAGGACACGTCCCCCCCTCTTGTCCTCGGGGCTCCGTTTCTTCATTCTTGAAGGATATTGGCTGAGCCTCCTCTCCTTTACTTCTCCTTGTCTCCTCGCTCCTTCTCTCCTCCAGACTTCTCCTCTGGAGAATATAAAACGGTGATGGGGGGGGGGCACTGTTGGTTGGAGCAGACAGGGGACGGTGGAGGTGTTAAATTAGCCGGCTGATCCGCACCCTCAGCCGCATACACATCCCCCCATTACTGCGCCCCGGCGCTGCTTAATATTCGGGGCATGGCGGCGGCGTCCAGATAGCAGATTTATCAAATGGGAAAATGAATGTATGATGATCAGTTAAATTGAAAATCAGCGCCCCGGTGACAGGCCGCGCTGACACCTTGGTAATTAGAAAGAAAAATGATGGCGTCCGAATGCATAATAGAGCAAAAACAATTTACGCTGTCCCCCCACGCCGTAATGATCGTGCGTTCAAATTGAAAATTTCTCCCCGGTTGAAATTGAATTCATAAAGTGTGATGCATGAGCGGCGAGGACGCGGCAGGGAGGCCCCAGCACCGGGGCCGGGCTGCGGTTGATCGATTGGTCGTTTGGGCTGGTGCCAACAAAGTTGTTGTGTTTTTGCTTATAAAGCAACACAAATGTACAGAACAGCACCCCCCACAGGGGCCACGTGGAAAGTGAACGCTCTGTTGTTTTTTTTATTGTTATTTTTTTTTCAAACCCTTAAATAAACATCGAGTTGAACCGTAAATACATTAAAAACTATTGTTTAAAAATATCATCGTAAAACTTAAAGGTACACGGTGTATGATAGAGCAACATCTAGTGGTCGCTCGTCACACCATCACAGCTACACTATGTCTTTAAAACATACAGAAACCATTCGTTCTGACCCAAA